ACTACTGTATTAACCACTACGGTCAAATTCCATGTTCCATGCTAGGAAATCCCGGAGTTTTCATAACATCCCACATGAAAAAAAAAAAAAGTTAAAAATTGGTGGGACCTTAATCTTTGTAAAATGTCAGTGTTAGAATACAACAATAAATTTGGTTCACACTATTTTAACTGCAACAATGAGATCACATCTCATTCCACGAACACAATCAACATTGCAACTTCTTCAGAAATCCATCTCTACTCTCTCAGAAGTTTACAGCTACTCCAGTTTTAGAGCAATAATAATCTTTAGCAGCTCCTCCCAAACTGTGACAGCGTAGGAATTGACCTCTTGTCCAAAACAAATGGTAGTTATAAAAGCAGTAACCCGGCTGAACTTATCAATTATCTGTGCTTACTCCCAGTACAAACACACATTTCACCTCAAGCTTGTAAAATCACCATCATGCCATCATTTTGAGGTGTGATCCCACAGAAATTATGTAAACATGGTTAGAGTGCTCTTGTTCAAACTTGTCAATATGTTTGCATCATGAAATAATTATTAATTCAGAAATCAGAGTATCAGGCCTAAGCTTACAATTCCTTATACTTCCTGAAGCTTCTTGCTTACATAACTGCAAGTGCCAACTGCAATTGATTTTGTTATCATTCCAGCCTTGGTATTCTCAACCAAGCAATGGGGAAAATTCTAGTGACACTGCTAAATATTAATCCTTTTGCTATTGCAAATATCTTAGATACAATATCAATGACTTCTCTTTTCTAATAATAGCAATTCTCCCAATGCTAGCTCAAAGAAAACATGCTTTGTCATCTTTTTAAGGGTGGGGAGAAGACAACAAACATATTTAAAAGAGAGATAATTCCCTAGAGTGCAAGCAGACAGAGGAAACATCCCTCAGCTATCTAACCCGACAAGCTATTACTATTTTTGTTGAAGTAAGGAACTTCATGCTTTTCTTCTTCCACGCTGTTTTGGGGAATGGTCCAGACTGACATTTTAGAGTTGTTGTAGAACTCTACATTAATTCTCAGCAGTTTAGGCCCAACTGTATGATCTAAGAATACTCCTGAGTGTTTTTAGACAGTGTTACTAATAGCCAGAAAAATATTTAAAAGCAAATACTTAGGAATATATGATAACTGCTCTTTGCAAAATGTTAGTTTTTTTAATTTTATAATTTCTCACATACTTTCAACCAACACTTCATAAATTATAGAGTTATTAAAAGAGCTCTAATAGGAACAATTAGGTACACAACACAGACCATCTGTAGGGGAAACCTCATTGACAGAAAATACTGAAGGAGAAAGAGGCTTTTTACCTCCCAAGGGCTTTCAGCTAATGCTCCAACTAGATCTCATCTAGCAAAACACTGGCACTAAAGAAAGCCCCAGCACACAAGTTTCACAAAAGGACAGAAAACTTATTTATTTCTGCACCCTGGTAAATGTCTACGCATTTGAAAATGGCTCTACCAGTGGAACATAGTTCAGACACATAAAGCACCAGAACAATCTGCCACTGACATGTATCAAGGAACAGAAAAAGTTAATGTTACAGTACATCAAGCAGTTAACTGTGTTCTGCATCTTTCAGAGCCATACTAATATACTTTACAATGTGCTACTGTTGCAGAAAGGCTAATTCACTATTATTCTAGAGCAAGTTAAGCTGCTGAGTCAACCTTTATTCTTAAAAATCAGGCTAATTTGCTTAGTTTTTCTCAGAAACAGTTCTCAATAGTTAGTAGATACCAAAATTTAACCAAAAAAAGGTTGTTAAATATAGATTGTTTAATGGAAAGGAAGTAGTGCATGTCGTTAGTGAATTATCTTCATCAGTTGCAATAACAAGAAATACCAACACATCAGAGCTGATTTAATATGGCTCATTTTTAGTTGCAGATAAGAAAAAAAAATTAAATTTCAAAAATCTTCTCAGCTGTCACTAGTACTGCAACAAGTTACTCTTGCTAAACTGCGAATTAAGTTGTCACAAATTTAGCTGCTGATAAATTCTGAAGTCCTCCCTAAGCATCTCAAAGTAGTTTAATGAGTAGCTGGGGAAGAAAAAAAAGGAACCTTCTCAGCTGAGAAAAAGTGCCCTCTTCAGAGACAACACAGGCTGCAAATGCAGACAGCACAGACCATCAATTTGAAAGGCATCTAAAATATCTTAAGTCAAAATCCTACTGAGTGTTTGGTCCATCAGAATTTAAGACACTACTGACCACCAAGAGCCAGAGCTGTAAAACACCAACTGCTTCCTTGGAGTCTGTGCAGTGCAGTTACCACTACACAAGAGGCAAGCATGACAAAGCCAGTTGTCCAAAAAGACAAGAGAAAAACCACTGCAACTTGTGTCCATCATAGCCTCACCAGATGAGAAAGTGCTGATGCAGTAAGTCACACGGGAACAGGCCACACAGGCCTGGAAAGCAGAGACATCTCACGAACAAGAAAAGGGGAACAAGTGAAAAGGCACGGAATGGCCAGCACAACAGACTAGGGAAATGATCATCACAAGAGGACTCTAAACACATGCTGACAGAATTAATTCAACATTACTGCAGAAGTTTGTTTTATGGTGAAAAATCTGGAAATGGCATTTGCCAGTTAGGTAAAAAAATGTATGTGCTTGCCATTCAACAGCATGGGTTTTGAATACAACTAAAATAAGATGGGCAGAAAAGACCAAAGAACAAATAAAAAAACCACAGAGTATTTTTTCCGGACAGGAAGTGTGATCTTCCCCTGAAATTACTGATTACAAAGTCCTAATCCTAATTGCATTCACACAAAACTGAAACGAATCTGCTGGGGTCTGCATATACAGATACAGTCAAAGGATGTAGGAAACTGACCCTGAGAAACTCAACACTATGTTACTGCATGATAACAATACATGTAAAACACGATGTGCCTTTCCCTCATTCTTAAACATAGTTAAGAAAAAATATTTTCTAAGTTGGTAGGTTATAAAACTAGCAGTTACAGTAGGGGAAGTGGATCTAAATTTTTAATGGCTAAAAACAAAATTACAGTGATTTTGGCCACTTTAGACAGTAGCAAACTTGACAAGGGCACAAATATCCAGCACCAAAAACTAGTGCAGCTTTTGCTTCTAATGTCAGTTCACTATACAGTCAATCTCAATTTTCATGTATAAAGAAATCACATATCAGTAGACTTGAAACAATATGCATATTCCTCCAAAGTGTGGCAAGGGTTCATGGGTGCAACTAGTTTCCCCAGGCTGTTGTAGCTACCAAGTCACCATCAGAACACCCAGAAAAGCTCACAGGGAAAGGACTCCTCCAGTTCACCTTAGGTGGGTATTCCTGACAGCCTAGAGCTGTCTGACTGCCTGAAGAACTCCCCACAATTGCTTTTCAGGCAGGCAAAGTCTGCAGTTTTGCTAGACTCCCTTAAATTACATTTCCTTGGCAAAGACCAAGGCTGGAATACTTCACCTTGAAGCAACTTGTCTACAAATAACATATATACAGGAACTAGAAGAAGGGAACATCAGAACCCTCTCCTCCTGAAACAAGGATAAGTGTCATAACTGGTCATCACATATGCAATCATGAAGCTTTATCTCAAAAAGCCAGTGGAGTGTCATCCACACTGCTATTCACAGAAATTCAACACTGTTAAAAAAAAAATTCAGTTCCAAGATAAAGTGTCTTGGATGAGCACACACAGCCACCACCAAAAGGAACAAACAGTCCAGTAGGAGGCACTGACCCAGAACGTTCTATGCCACCCCTAAAATAATCTAAATTACTATAGCTAATAGTCATAGCCATCACACTCACCAATTCTCTTTAATGCAGCTTATTAATCCTGATCACCCACCAAATACCCTCAATTCAAAAATAGGTCATATATTTTTACAGGTTTAATTCATTCTGCAAATTTTAGCCTCCTGGGGAAATCTGAGAGCTTATGGCTCTACAGAACTGCTTTAAGAATGCCCTAAAACTTTGAGCTGATGCAAATTAAAACATGGAAGATACTGTTTAATATCATTCAGGAAAGCAAAGCTGAAATGTTCAGGTGTTGGAAAGCAAGCCTTTACCCTGCAAGACTTAAGACAACTCACTATTTGGATGAATAACCTCCACTGTAAAATAATATGACAAATTATAAAACATGGGTAACCCAGTCATTGTATTGCAGAAGTATCTGCACTCAGGACACCTTGTTGACATTAAAAATAGAAAATCAATTGCTCTTTGTAGACAAAACAGAATACAGGATAAAGTCTAATTTCCAGCAACTGGAAAGCCCTGCCAGATTCCACCTTTTAGAATGCCTTTGGACACAGCAGACATTTATAGCCCACGCTGATCCTCAAATACCTGCCTGCCTCACAGCTGAGCTGCTTCGGGACAGAAACCCCCCACCAGGCAGAGGTGAACCGGGGCAGTAAACTTCTAAGGATTACCTAATGACACAAACTCCCGCAAGCACAGCCGAACCGCTCCGCTTAAGCCCTTCAAACAAATAAGCACGGAGCCTTTTGGAAGGCACCGCGGAGGAGGAGGCCGGAGGGGCTGAAGCCGGAGCGGGCGTGCGGGGCCCAGGCGGGGGCACGTCCCCGGCGCGGCCCAGGGCCGAGGCGGGCTCCCCGCGGCCAGGTGCGCTCCGCTCCCCGGACGCGGCCCCGCCGCGGCCCCGCGGGCCCTCACCGGGCAGCCCAGCCCGGCCGTCTGCGGACCGCGTCGGAACCGGGACCGGGCCCAGCTGCCGCACGGAGCGGGCACGGCGGGCCGGAGAGCCCCGCCGCCGTCCCGCCCTGCCGGGAGAGGACGGAGGCTGATAACAGGGGCCCGGCGCTGCCCTGGGCGAGCCGGTCAGCGGCTCTGCCCTCCGCGGCCAAGGGGAAAACTGCCAGCCGCCGAGAAAACCCGGCGAAGGGCTGAGCCACGGCGCGGACAGCGAGCCGCTCCCCGCGCTCCCGCACCTCCTTGGCAGCGCTCTTACCTCTGTTAACATTATTACCCCGCTGCGCTGCGGCGGCGCCTCGGCGGCTCTAGCCCCGCAGCATGGTGAAGCCTGGCGGCCGCGCGGAAAGCTACCCCGCACCCTGCGGGGAGGCGAGGGGAGGCGAGCGCCGCCAGCCCCCGCCGCCGCCCCGCTCAGCGCCTGCCCGCCGGCCCCGACCCCGCTGCCGCCCTCGCAGCCCGGCCCGGAGCGGCCGCCATCTTGGGACGGCTAGTGCGCCACCGCCCCGCCCCGCCCGCCCGGCGGGGCCGCGGGACCGCCCCTGCCGGGGCCGGCGCTCCGCTCCGCGCCCGGCCCGGCCCGGCCGCGCCTGCCCGGCGGCACCGGCGGCACCGGCGGCCCCGGCTCCGGCGGGGCAGCGGCGGCCCTTGGTCGGGTGCGGCCGCAAGGCACGCGGCTCGAAACTGCGGGTCGGGTTTTTTCCCTCTTTCCCTTGGTGTGACCTGTCTTAGAGCTCTTCGGTGTCAGGCAGCTGTGCTGCGGGCGCCAATCGAAATATTTTGTTGAATTTCTGACCAGGCAGCACACCTCTCATCCACCAGTGACGTACGCAGCGCTGCGCGTCATTCCCTGTTCTGGATGCTAAGGAAGAGCGCATGTCCTGTCTGGAGCACGAATCCTTTGAGAAGCGGCTGAGGGAGCTGGGGGTCTTTAGCCGGGAGAAAAGGAGATGCGGGGGTGACCTTATCACTCTCTACAAGTGCCTGAAAGGAGGCTGCAGCCAGGCAGGGGTCGGTCTCTTCTCCCAGACAACCAACGGCGGGGCGTGAGGACACAGTCTTAAGCTGTACCGGGGAAGTTTAAGTTGGATATTAGGGAGAATTTCTTCACGAAAGTGTGTTTAGACATTGGAGTAGGCCGCCCAGGGAGGTGGTCGAGTCACTGTCCCTAGAGGTGTTTAAGGAAAGACTGGATGTGGCACTTAGTGTCATGGTTTTCTGGAGTGATGGTGACCGGTCGTTTGGACTCGATGGTCTCAGGTCTTTTCCAAGCTCAATGATTCTGTGAAAGAAACTTCTATAAGTCTGTTACCTACAGTATTGTTAAGTAATGGCATAAAGTATGGAACAGAAACATATCTCCTCAGAAACAGAGCTATGTCTGCCTTAGCTCAGAGAACCCTGGGGTGATGTGCCCCCACAGCTTAGTATTTCAATACAAAGAAATATTCCCATCTGAAACTTGCTCTTCCTTTAAGCACTGTTCAGTGGGTTTTTGTTTGTGGTTTTCACTAGACTTTAGGGTGCACCAAAGAAATAGTAATGGTTTGCAGGAAAGATGGAGGAAAAACATCTCTACTATTTTAATGTGAAGAAAACCAACCTTCTTCAATTACAGTATTTTTTCTCTTCAATTAAAGCATAATATGTTTTCTTGCAGAAATGTGAGGGGCATTAAGCAGTTCTTAAGGCTGATGGGTTTTGCAGAAGTTCTGTAATTTTCCCAGATATTGTTAAATACTTAACATTTCGAGGTTGACCACTTCTTAGTTTTATATGTGAGTATTACTGAGTTTCAGTTTTACTCATACAACTGTCAGAGACCCAGCTGTTAGTCATGTGAAGCAAAAGAGCAAACCCTTAATAAATAAACTTATAACTTTATTTGCCTTTTATAAATAATAAAAAATACCATTTTTTCTAAGTGTCTAATGAGCCTTTTACTTCTAAGTCTATAATTTTGAATGTTTCATGTTAGCAGTACTCTTTTCCCCAAGCTGATCCCTCAGGGAATCTTACAGCATACACAATTCTACTTTAAACCATAGGCTTGGCAACAACAGTGCCATGCAGAGGTCTCCCACATGGTATTTCACCACCTTGATAAATTCAAAATTGTTCAAAAACCATTGAGAAAGAGGAGTTGTGAAATACCAATTTCAGTGTATTGCTTTGGTCCCCTAAAATTGTGTAGGTACTTATTTGACCGACATATATGTACACAGCTAGGATCCATATTTGTGGCTTTCATTCTGCTTCAAGTCAAGCAAACAATGCCCTGTGCTCAGATCTCTGCTACAGGAAATCCTGAAGGTACCCATAAAATAGCAGAGTGATCAGTAAATGATCAGTTGTGTGTAATTATGAAAAAATTTCAACACATACTTAGGTAGTAGGAAATAGAATCAAAATACTTAAAGCACCTAATGCTTGACATGTCATTGAGTTAATAAATATGTCCTCTGGGCAAGGCACATTACCATGAACTGATAAGATTAATTAACTATTCCATAAAATGTAAGGGTTAAGCAGAAGAAAAAATCTCATTATATTTATGAATATGTATAAATAATAGTAATTGAACCAAGGTAATAGCTTAGAAAAACAAACTTTCTAGGCACTGTATCTCTTTACTTTGTGTGTTTAGGTATAGCAGTTAAGGTTTTCAAAAGGAATAATCCCTTTTGACAACTTACTTCAAAGATGTATGTATCCAAAGTGTGCTGATGTAAAAGAAGAGCAAATCTTATACAAATCTCCCAGCAAGATGAAGTCACAATTAATACTTTGTACTTGAATTTGCCCCTACTTCTGCTTGGAAAGTAGCAGCTTTACAGCATAATAGTCTGGGAAGCACCTTCTGTTCTTGCATTGCTGGAATAAACCTACCAGTACTTCTGCTGAAAACAGCAATCAGCACAGCCTTAACAGTGTTCCAAATTGCTACTAATGCTAGATTCCATTGTTCTAATTTTTGGTCAATATCATCTCAACTTCAAAAGGGAAAGGCAGTGTAATTCCAACAGCAAGGAGTGAGGCTATGAGGAAGGACTGAACCACATAGACTCAAGGCAGAAGAAGAAGCAGCCTTTTACAGGAGAGGTGAGAAGGGGCAGCAGCTTGGGAAGAGTATGATATCAGGGAATTCTTGAAAAACTGCTGGGAGGAAAAGAAAACAAACCAGCAGTTATGTTGCCAGTTCCCATTCTTATAATAAACTGAAAAGATGTACTTTTTTTTTTTTTTTTTTTTTCCCTAGGAAAGAGGGTGTTTCTAAATTAGTGTGAACAGGTCTGGAAATGAGGCTTCAACAGAGGCTGAAAGAATTATCAATGGTAGGCCAGGAGCACTAGAACACTTGTTTCCCTGACTCCATCTTCCAGTGACAATAATTCCATTAGACTTGATGAGTCATCCGTAAGAGAGTTTTATCCATGTCATCATTTTGCATTCATTACACACAGCTCAGGACAGGCACTGCAACAAGCCAGCATTTTAACGTGGCAGCAGGGCAGCCACATTAGCACCACGCTCCTCCAGGCAGAGCAGCACACACCTTATTTTTCATGTCACTTCCACAAGCCCACAAGCACGGTGTGAAGTACTGTGTTAAGGCAAGTATTTATATCTGCAATCAAAGGCAAACTTGGCAGAAAGTGTTTGCACTCAGTCCTTAAAATACTCACAGAATTTTTTTCTCTTAGGCCTAAACAAATGCTTAGCTCAACTAGAAGGAGTACCTGAAAGCTGATGGCTATTCACAAATACCTTCATAGTTATAAAACAATTCTGACATGTTGCCAAACATCTTAGTGTTCTTTGCACTCATTATAGTTTTCACTATAAGCTAAAGGAGTGGTCTGATGGTCTAGATCCACATTTTGAAATCCCACAGGGGACATTGGGGGCCACAGGGCTGTCTGCTGAAATGATGGATGAATGCAGCATTAAAATCTGAAATACAGGATGAGAAGATAGAGATAGCACCTTCAGGCTCTACATCCAGAAGTTTATAAAAATTTTGAAAAGTAAAGCATAGAAAGTAAAGAGAGAAAAATATAGTCATGAGGGGGAGGACACAACATGCACAGAAGCAGGGGCATAAGCAGGATTTAGCAATAAAAGAGCAACTGTGCCAACTTGCAGCAAAGCACAAAGGAGTGCAAATTATTTTCCAGCCCTGAAAGGAGGGCAGTTCCACAACCTAAATAACTGTTAGCTCACCAGCTTATGAAAAATGAAATTGGTGACCTAATTGCCATCATGATAACCTCTGAAAGTGCAGTAGCCTGCATTTGGAGAGCAAAAGGATATGTTCTCCTGACCTGTACAAGAAAACAAGTGAAGACTAAGGAAAGGGGAAACTACAGGCAGGGTTGGGGGAGGGACAGACTGAAAGAACAACAGACCTATTTTGCTTTGCAAAGCAGTTTTATGGAAGTGGCTACAACACTGTTTCTAACATCAGTAAGCCTGAACTTCTGTACCTTTCTTTAAAATATAGAAAGATCTTTTACAGAATTATTTCTAAATGCTGTAATTAGTTCTGATTGTCTGTAACAACTGATGCAAACTAAAGTTTGGCTTCTGTTCTCTTGTTTAAGTTGCTTGTAGCTCATGCTGGCAGTATGATTAGAGTTTGCATAGGGTTGTTCAGTTTGGGATTCACTCTTTTTGTTGGGGGAGGAGGTGAGGTGGAGAAGATGTGAAGAATTTGTAGTCATTAAATATTTCATGTGTTAAGTCTTAACTGTTTATGTGCAATTCTCTGTGATTGCATTCCATTCCATTTCAGATAAGGTCACATGACCCCAAAAGTCTACATAGCAACATGATTGAAAGGGGAACTCAAAGTATCTTTTTGTGTGAAATTTGAATATTCCGTTATTTCAGGATGTTGCCAGTTCTAAGATCTTTGGTCTGAGTGGCCTGCTCAGAGGTTTTGTTTCTGGTCAGGATCAAAACTGCATAATTTCCAAGTAAATATCTCATTCTCTTTAAACTTTTTCATCATTTACTTGAGATGCAGCACAGACAGAAGATGGAAGGGTCTATGTGAAAGGGCTGCTCGAAGCAATAGAATGTGGATGTTGGGCATCAGATAAATAATTACTGAAGAAGCATCAGCTTTAATTCCTGAGTCATCCTTTGCAATAAGGATACAATATCTCCTCAATGTTCATGTTCTCAGTATTGTTTATGGGAGGCTGAAATTTCTTTTAAAGCTTTTGCTAGCTTATGTCTTTGCTATAGTGAACATTTCGTATTCAAACAGCTGTCTGCAGCTAGACAGGCTAGACACTGTTAGCATCTTAATCCTAGTTCTCTAAGTAAGTATTAGAATAAAGATAAGCTATATTTTTAATACAAAGAGTACTTTAAAAATTGTGCTGTCTCTCTTTCAGAAGTCTATCACAACTAGAGTCATATCAGAATTATAACATAGATATTAGTCATCAGCTGCATAGTTTCTGGCTGGGGATTTTTTTGCACACAAACAGAAGGCTTCCTATGCTATTTGTACACTGCTGACAC